AACATTTTATGCGTTTTATTTTTATTAATTTATACTATTATTTTTATATTTATTAGTTTTAACTTATATTACTTTAAATTATTATGCATTATTTTATATTACTCATTTAATTTACTTATATATATATTTATAAATATATGCTTTTTATATGCTTTTTTCCAGTTTTATTTTTCATTGTTGCAGTCTAAAATAATCACAATACATACTTTTTCTTTTTTAAACAGATTTTGAAACACACACACACACACACACACACACATATGTATCTGCCTATTGTCACAATTTTTGCTAAAGAAATGTAGAAGTGTTTTGGAAACAGCTGAGTCTCAGTTACGCTCCTGAAAAATGTTCACAGCATGATTGTACTTTTAGTTTTGGTTGGTTCCTCTCCTCAGCGCCGCTTGTTTTCCAGGTGGAGTCGGATCCTTCCAGTCGGGCTGGAATTGCATTTCTGAGCATAATATGGCAAGCCCTGGAGTTACTCTGTGAGACATTGACATTTCAGAGTGAAGAATAGCGCTTGTTGCCGTTATTATGCCCACACACACACACACACACACACAGGGTTTGCCGTGTTTGTCTTCACTTCAGCTGCAGAATGTTTCTGGTAATTGAACAGCAGCTCCGGCGCGGCGCAGGAAATAACGGCTCGATGTAATACAGCCAACTGCAGCTCGCAGGAAAATGACTTTCATTTCCATCCGTCTCTCTCTCGCTGTTGACTGAGAGATGTTGATTTGTGTGTTTTTCACTTCGGTCCACGCCGCGCAAACTCTGCGATTAAAAGCGTGTTTTTTTCCCTTCCAGTCGTCGGCGCTGATGATTTAATAATCTCACGTCTGCGCACCTGCATGAAGACTTATTTAATCTAATCATTACGTCTCGTCTCCATCGCCTTCGTTTTCCTTTCAATCGATGTTTCAGACACGACTCCCATGATGCAGTTCATTTGATTCTCATCTGTTATACAGTTTCATCTTTTTGAACCCCAATATTTTGTAGTTTTTAAGGTCCTTAAATTTTAAGTGAATTTGCATATATATTATAAAAACACATAATATTTTGTTGTCATTGAAATATTCTACTTCAAATTTACTTTAAATCTGCTCCTAGCAAATTTATTTAAAAGTACTTATGTATTTAAATAATCTACATTGAATGTTTTGTATTTAAATATTTGTATTAATGTGTAGTATTATTTTTTAATGTATTTTATTTTAATTTAGATTACCTTGTATTATTCTTTTAATTTAAATATATTAATTTATATATTTGTGTGTTAGATATATTTGTTTAATTTGCATAGTATTAATTTTTATAGTATTTTATTTTATAATAATGAATGTGTATTAATATTACATTAATTATGCTAATATTTATTCATCATTATTAATACATTAATATTTTTAATATATAATATTTATAAATATTTAACACATTTTAAATTAATTTACATTTTATTCATATTACTCTAGATTGTTCTTTTAATCTCAAAACTGAAGGCCAAAAATAAAATGAAAAATGCGTGCAAAAGTGTATGTTTAAACTGAATAATATAATGCAATATAAATTAAAATTAATACATTTTTAAAAATTATACTATACAACAATACAAAGAAATAAATAAATACAATTTTTTTTGTGCTGATTAGCCCCGCCCTCCCTGGAATCTCATTGGTCTACAATATCACTCCTCATAGTTGTGCACTAAACTTTAAATTCATTCTTATTGGCCGTCATTGTGTCACATCATATATCATGCAGTCAGAACTGTTTTACAATTGTTGACTTTAAAGTTGTTGGTTCTCGTTTGTCTTCTGCAGTGCACGTGCCGTAAGGACATGGTGAAGATATCCATGGATGTCTTCGTTCGCTGTCTGCAGCCTGACCGCTATGAGCTGTGGAAACAGGGGAAAGACAACACGGTCCTGGACCACCTGAAACCCACGAGCCTCACCAGCTCCAAGCTGGAGCACTGGAGGAAAACCAGAGTCACGTACAGAGAGAAGCTCCTGCGCAGGTGCCCACAATTTTCAGTGTTTTATTTTGTTGCGGCAAAAATCTGCTAGTTGGCCTTTATTGTTGATTTTAGAAAATAATTTTCGTCAGTCCCCTGAAAAAAAAAAAAAACATGCTTTGTGGAAACTTGTTTTGTTTTAACATGTCACCACGAAAATTTTCGTAAGTAGTGAGTATACTATGTGCTTTTAACGCAAAACATTGTTAAATTGCTCATAGTATCTTATTGGAATGATAAAAGTAAAAAGTCGAGATGTAGGAATGACACGTTACAATGACGTTTATGGTCAGATATAGTAGTGCTGGGCGGTATACCGGTTCATGCCGAATACCGGTGTTTATTTTTGTTATGATATGAATGTTTAAAATACCGCAATACCGGTGTATGTCGCTTAAACAACGTTTGGAACGCGACACTGTTTGAAAGGGGTCCCTTTTCACTGTTGCACTGTGGTGAGGAAACAGCTGTATGTGTTACTAAGCGTGAAAGTTCCGAAACTGAAGCTGTAGAACTAATAGAACGTGATGACACAGAAGAACTCATCCACAATATCCACATTGACCACCACAAATATCCACCGCCCCCTGCCATCAGCTCCCACGTCTCACACACACGAGCACGACTTTAGCACTAGATTTAGCAACTTTCAGACCCTTTTAGCGGCTTTTTTTCCATAGAATATTCATACTGACAAACCTAGCGACTTATTTGGATAAACGTTAGCTGTGGTTCAGTTGGAAGATTTCACCAGTGCTGTCCCGCGAACGCGAGGTCTGACTTTCCCGGAGAAGTGTCTCCTCTCTCGTGTGTGTTCTGTGCAGTGAGCGGCAGAGAAGCAG